AGTTTCATTAAATCTCACATTAAATATATTTTAATAGATCGTTTGTTTTATGTTGATAATACTACTATATTTTTCTATAATTATAAAAAACATAACTAGAAAAAAAAGTCAAACATGACTTATAATATGAAATGGAGGGAGCAGTTCTCACTTCGAGTATGTACAGTGAATCTTGTTAATTAATTCGAGTAAAAAGAAATTATGCAGCGCAGTAACAAAATGTGCAACTAGCCAGCACACGGCAGAGTTGCACAGAGCAGCTGGAGTAGACTGCGATTTCTTTACCGCCGGTATCATCCCACGGCCCTCGAGTCGACATTCTCATTGGCGGAGTGGTGAAACCACAGAACTTTGTATACTATCAGAAGAAAACTGACGGAGTTCTTTGCGTCATTGCAGCACAACGATTCCTGGGACCTTCCAGTCCAAACATAGATATAGAATGTACAGTAGGATGGATGCAATGACCGAGTGAATCATAAGTGGAAATGCTTCACTTCCAACAAATATATAGAAGATAGCAACATGCATAGCATCTCAGCCATTGGTGATCTCTGGCTGCCTTAAAACCATAGCCAATTCTTTTCATAGCTGGAAACCATCCACTTAAAACGTAGTTGTCTTATAACTTTCGGACCATTGGAGCACACTTGTCATAAAATGAAGGGGAAATTAAAGAGTATATCAGTGTTCTTTAATTTGGGAAGTGTGCGTTTTTTATCTGCCTCTTAGTTTTGCCCGGGAAGATCATTACAATTGCAAGCAGCAAAATCTCATGTCATGGAGGGGCGGGCCCATCATTTTAAGGTTGTGTATTAAAAATAGAAAGGGGCAAAAGAAAATCTTTGACAGTTGTACATATAGTGTTGCGCGCGAATTGCAGAATTTGGCCATAATACTTGTGCGAATTGGATCCTCAAAGGAGGGAGCCAAACCTAGGAAGGCGGGTTTATTTGCTTCTTATCCTTTTATCATTTTTTATCCACGTACATATTACATAATAGATATACTTATTTTCTTTCTAAAAATCATGGGTACACTCCCTTCGTCCAAAAAAAAAAAAAAGGCAACCTAGGAGGGGATGTGATATCTCTTAGTACAATAAATCTGGACATAGGAGAGGTCACATCCCCTCGTAGGTTGCCTTTTTTTAAGGAAGGAATGATTACATTTGAATGCCCATGGAATCTATTTGGGCGCCCACCGTGAGCACCGTGAATGGGTGTTTTCCTAGGGTTATGCGAATGGAATTAGTTCACTTTAGGTCCCTCAATTTGTCGTCTAGTCAGATTTTCATCTTTAGCCCAGAAAACCGGATACAACACGTCCCCCAACTTACAAAACAATGCAACTGAGGTTCCTAGGCAGTATTAACCCTAGTTTTGGCTGACGTGGCACCTCCATGTATCATTTCACTAGGTCTTCGTCCCATATGGCATTGATGTGACGCTTATATGGCAATTCTATAACAAAAAATAATAAAAACCATAGGGCCCGCATGTCAGTTGCATAAAAAATAAAAATATGATGGGGCCTATGTGGCTCCACATGTCATCTCACTCCCCTCTTATCTTTATCCTCTCTCTCTCTCTCCCACCTAGGCAGTCGGAGCAGGCGATCGATGGGTGGGGTGAGGCGCTCACGCGGCTGTTGCTCCGGCTCAATGCGGTCCACGGTGCAAGGAAGTCCTTGCGCTTCAGGATGCAGTCGATGCCCTCGAGCACATGTTGGCGGCGCCCGTAGCCGCTGACGACATCGGCAAGCCGTCGACATGGAGCAGGGGCGACCGAAGCAAACCGTCACGGGTTTAGCTTCATAACCTCCATCGCTGTACCCGCCACTGCCTCCATAGCCACGGTTCCCACCACCGCTGGGATGAGATCCGCGGGTGACGTCAAACCCCGTTGGTGGCGTCAAACCACTTTGCCGTCCCCTTCACCCTCTCCGACGGTCGGCCATGGAGCGTACGAGCTCGGCGGCGGAGATGAGCGCCACGCATGGGAGAGGAGCAGCACGAGGCATCGCGGCGGGAGAGAGAGGAGAGGAGAAGCGCATGGCACAGCGGTGGGAGAGAGGAGAGTGCGTGGCTTGCGGTGGAAGAGAGGAGCATGCGCGGCTTGCGGTGGAAGAGAGGAACGTGCGCGCCGCGGCGGCCGGCGGGAGAGAGGAGAGGTGCACTTACGGCGTGACGGTGGGGGTAGAAAGCGCACATGGCGTCTGGCAGGAGAAAGGAGTGGAGCGTGGGCGACGCAGCGGCGAGGGAGACAACAACATGCGGCGTCCGACGGGAGAGAGGAGAGGAGCGTGGGTGGTACGGCACTCGGGGGGAGAGAGGAGAGGACTGAGGAGCGTGGGTGGCGCGACGACTAGGGAGAGAGCGCCGCGAGGCTCGTCAGCCTCCCCGCGCTATCCCTCTCTGAGAAAGTGATAAGGGAAATGTAGGTCAAATATTTTTATTTTATTTTGTTTGACTGACATGTGGGTCCCTCATATTTTGTTTAGTTTTTTAGTTTTACAATTTTGCACTTCTATTTTTTCCGGATCAAACTGCCATGTAAGCGCCATGTCAATGCCCCATAGGACGAAGAACAAGTCAAAGGAACCACGTAGGCACCACGTCATCTAAAACCAGTGTCAATACTACCGAGGGATCTTTTTTTAACTAGTTTTGTAAGTTGGAGAACGGGTTGTATCTGTTTTTTAGGTTGAAGGACGAAACAGATTGGGCGATAAATCGAGGGGCCTAGGATGAAATTATTCCTATGTGAATTGGACCCTAGGGTTGTTATGGAACCTTCTATTATGTGACAGAGAGTACATAAACTGAACAGAATTACTAAGTACATCCTCAATGTATCTAACCCAACTTGGTAATAGTGTGTGGTCCCAAACAACAGGAGGTAGAGAATAAGATGGGGTCCACCAAGAAAAAACTATTATCTCTTTTTTCTATAAAGCTAATGTCCACTACACACCTAAACTCAACAAGCATAGTATTTATTAGCACTCCTAAAACCTACGTGCAAGCATGCCGCATCAACCCATTAAAGCACAGAAAGCTCGACATACAAACATATGGTAATTATGTCTACAATTTATTTCATTCTAAAACTAAACATACCCATGCTAAATCATCATTCTCAAATCACTTTCATAATATTTCATTCCAAATCATTTCATCATTTCTTCAATGTCTAACATATATCCCGCAGCAAAGCGCGGGGCACTATCTAGTTTCCTATATGGTAGAATTGGTATCTCCCGTAATGCTCTGGCCTTCCTCATTTGCAATGCTCTAAAGCTGTTTCGTATTTGCTTGCTGCGCTTGCTGCCTGGTAGTATCACTTCAACTAGGTAGTTGTTGTTACCTACCTTTTGCCATAATGCCTACACCTTGCTAATAAGAGTGCATTCATTGGTTACTTCCTGCTTTTGAACCATTTGCCTTAAATGACTATCGATTGGAAATTGTGACTATTTTGCCTAAAAAATTATGACATTTGGATTTATGTCGTGATTCATGCTCCAACAACCCCAACTCTTTCTCCTCCAACTCCAGGAAGCTCCTGCATCTGGCGATGGCATGCTAAGTTAGGTTTAGGGTTCCGAGTCAGGGTGGAGGTGGGAATGGATGTAAGGGGAGCGGGAGAGGGCTGGCTTAAAGGGATGGCTGTGGCAGGCGGCATTCTGGTGAGCGGTGAGGTGCTAGAGCAGTGGGGAAGGATGTAGGTTGGTGTTGGCGCACGGTGGGGGCAAACCGGATCTTGTGGATAGGAGATGGGGAAAATGGTTGGATGGGGCACTGGTGCGCCCTCGGCTTTGAAAAGATAAGGGAGATGGGGAGGTGGACGGTTGGGAGAGCCTCACCAACGCTGTTGACACCTTCCGGCAAGCCGACATGGGGGCAATGTCACTAGATACGCAATGACGGTAGAGGATAGTGGGGCGGTGTTGATTGTGGGGACAAAATAGGGCTTGTGTGGTTAAGAGGGGGGTGGTCGCCAGATATGAGAAAGACATTTGGATGGAAAACTCGGCACAACTGGCTTGCGAAAGAGAAGGTAGGAGAAGGAGGTGACCGGCTAGGGGGACAGGAGGGAGGGAGAAGGAGCTCGTGAGCTAGCCGATGAGATTGGGCAGCGATGGCGATGACACAGGAGGCAGAGGCATCGTGCGAATGTGCACTTGCTCGCGAGTTTCGGCAGTGTTAAGAAAAAATGATGAGAGAGGAGAGGAGGGGTTACGGTCAGAGGAGGAGTGGACAAATTTTGAAACGATTCACTGGTTAAGAATTTATAAGGTTTTTTCTATGAAATATTATATAAGTAGTCGCTAAATTAAATCAATTCTTCAATCTCATGCTCCCCCATACACTCGCCTATGTAACTGTTGCTTCTAACTTCTGTTCCCCGTCACTGTGGTTGAGACATCACTCTGTTCTAACGCTAACCCACGGGCACACTTGGTACTCGAGGACCTATCAGACTTGTGGGTTATCTGCCAATAAAGTATGTATGTGTATGATTAAAATTGTTTTGAACCATTGCACGCACCAGCATTCTACTAGTTTAAAAAAAATCGAACCCACCAAGATCTTGTTCGGTTACACGGTTGGGATTCGTTCCATGCTAGGAATGATAGGTACGTATAACAAGAAATTTATAATAGGTAAAAAGGAGACCGGCATTTATTCCGGATCGAGAACCAATTTATTCATATTAGGTACAACAAAACATCCGGATTAGTTCCACACCTCTTGACTAGTGGATTGATTCCCGGTCTCTTATTGTCCCTATCATGAGTAAATTGGTTTCCGGCCCGAAATAAATCCCGGTCTCTCATTACATCTATCATAAATTTCTTACTATACTTGTCATTTCTAGACTGGATTGAATCAGGCGTAACCGAATAAGGCCTAAAGAAACACAAATACATGTTCTATTTTTGCAAAAAAAAGATAAAAATGTAGTAGACGCTAACTAGTGGGACCGAGCAGCTAACAGTGGCCATAGGGTCAGCCCAACATCGACATTCATGATTCATCGCAGCAGCCAACAATCCACAAAAGCCTAGCCATCCGCTCACCCCCTTCGCTTCGGTGACTCTCTCCCCATCTCCTTCCCCTAGGCCGCCGCTATGAAACCTCCGGTCGCCATGGATTCTGCCGGAGGAAACTCAGGTGAGAGCTACCCATCTCACCTCGGCCTGTTCGCGCATCTCACAGTGCGGAGGCTTGGATCTGATCTGATCCACCGGTGGCTGTTGTGCAGGCAAGCTGTTCGACGAAATGCCTCCCCGTTCGTCGGATCGAGGATGCCCCCGGAGCCCGTCACCGGCGGCGATGGAACACGGCTTCGACAGACACTGTGTGTTCGTTATCGTCTAGTATATGTTATTGCGTATTTTCCTGGCCGTGGGTGGGTGTTTGCTGTGGAGCGTGACAGTGACACCCGGTGGCTCGTGCAGGTGTGGTGCTCGGCGGAATGCCCAAGAAGAGATCAAGGTTGGAGTTGGACGCGGGGGTGTCACTGTGGGCAGGCCTTCAACCGGACATTCTGGGAATCGTGCTCCACTTCCTTCCATGCCTTGCCGACCGTGCGAGGATGCGGTCCGTGTGCCGTCACTGGCGAGCCAGCGCGAACGGCCACGTCCTGCCACCGCCGCTGCCCCTGCTGATGCTTCCTGGTTTCAAGTTCTCGAGCCTATCAGACAAGGGGGATTTGATGCCTGTGCGGTGCGTGCCGGTGCCTAAGGAAGTTGCAGCTGATGATCTCCGATGTGTGGGTTATTTTGATGGATGGCTTGTAGGTGTGACTCCTAACAAGGATCGCAGCGACGAGTACAACAGAGATGCCGATGGTGACTGCTTCCTGGTGAATGTTTTCTCTCGCAAGGTCATCCGCCTACCGCAGCTGTGCCATATGCGTTACAATTTTCCTGCTTACTCCAGTAAGACCCTCCGCATCATCAATGGTTCTGGTGAGGTCTATTTTCGTGTCAATGATATATACACAATGTCACTATGCAATGTGGCACTATCTGCTTCACCTGACTCAAGAGGCAAGTACATTGTAGCTGCTTCCTCTGACCACAAGTGTGCATCAAAACTTGCTCTCTGGCAGCCTGGGATGATTTCATGGCATATTTGCGCTGGCGTTGACATTGATGGCCCAAGAGATCTCACTTTTTACCTTGGGAAGCTGTATGTGCTCCAAAGATATAAGATACGCCTCTTTGCTTTTGAAGTTGGGGAGGACAATGGTGGGCTCATGGTCTCTCGCGTTAAGCGTTGTCTGAGTGCGCTGCCTCTCCATCATCCCTACCAGGGAGGTGGTGCAATAAGTTGTAATATGGTTGTGTGGCGTGGAGAGCTATTATTAATCATCAGACACTACAGCGACAATTACCGTGACCGAGAAGTTCTTAAAGTTGAAGTGTTTGCACTGGATGTTAACACAAACCCTTATGGACTAACTGAGATTCACAGCTTGAATGGTGACTGTATCTTTGTTGGCTTAGGTGGCTGCAAGTCCTTTCCTGCTGGTCTACATCATGGAGTTGAAGGTGACCATATCTACTTTGTCCCTGATGATTGGAAGCCTTATGATACATTTGTGTATAGCATGAGAGATGGTAAGATGAGGTCCTTTGCCGTCAAACTATTAGCTTCCGACTTTGATGTGGACCAGTTGAGTCGTGATTTCCCGGTGTGGTTACTTCCTACCGAATGATGCTGCACAGCAAAACTGATCTAACTGGTTGTTTTGTGCCGCTAGTTGCTCTTATCAAGACAGAGCTTACTTGTCATTAGACTCTTTGGTCATGACTATAACATGTATAATCTGCTATGCTCTTGTCACAATTCTCAGATTTTTCTTTCTTTCCGAAAAATATTAATATGGAAGGTTCTACTTCAACATTTAACTCTTTTAGCAACTATAAGAGAAATAAAACAAGAGGACAAATACCATTAATCGCATTCATAAATATTATTACATCCCTTCTTTGAGATAAGTTTTGCTTGCAGAGAACATGACCACTGAAAGCTCGCTTCAATTTGAGTTTCACACATTGAAACTCCTATGTGACAACCAAACATTGTTTGGAGTTTGGACACTTGGTGGAGGTGACCTCCTGCTGTGTTGTAACTGACAAGGTTAAAAGAGCCTTTTCAGCTAGAAAATTGTCAATAGACTGAGTTGAGAAATAAGATGGGGAATGATAGGTTGAATCATATTGAGAGAGATGTTTTGGCAATCACTGAAGATGATATTTTGTAATATTTCCTAGAACTGAATAATAGAGTGAAAAAGTTTACCTCCGTTATCTCAAACTAGAGCAAATGATATGTTGCATTCCTACCATTTTTGTTCATTAATCAATTGTAGTTTGTAGATTGCATCTGTATTTTTTTTTGTCAAATGCCAATCTTGTATGTGTAGGTTCACATTTGATATTGTTCATGAAGATATGAGAGATGAGGATGAACCAAATCGTCGTTGTTGCCCTCATCCCATTCTGCTTAGTATTATTGTAAGTGGTTCAGTAAGTTGCAACATCGTGGTGTGGCATGATAGATTTGTACTCTACAACACAAGAAATGGTATGATGAAGCCCTTTGCTCTCAAATTGTTACCTTGCAACATTGGCGTTCCTGAGGAAATCATTGATTTTTCCAGTGTGGTTATTTCCATCCAACTGATGCTGCAGAGCAAATCTGATATTTCTCACTGTATGGTGCTACTGTTTGTTCTTCGAAGATTATGAAGACTGAACGAGTTGCTACCTGTCTTTTGACATCTGTATGATTTGGACAATGGTTTGCATTGTCACCTATGTTCATGTCTGTATGATTTGGACAATGGTTTGCATTGTTACTACGTTCATGTCACCCTGGGATTAAAGGTTATTAATTTGGAGGAAAAGTATTCCATACCTATTGAGGTTTGGAACTAATCCTCTCGATCCCATTTAATCTCTTCATTCTAGGAACCCCAACATGGTCTTAAATAGTTGCAAGGTCTTAAATATCCAAGACTCTTTGTGCTTTCTTTACATTCTAGAATCCCCAAAGCTTCGCATTCCAAACCTTGAAAATCTGACGCGAATACACTGCCCCTCTAGTGTTTTGGAATATTTCCATTTTCTTCCTACCAGCAAAACTGAAGCAGGATAGCTATTGTGGTAGTGTTATATATGCATGAGTTAATGAATTACTGGAAATTCCTAACACACAAACGGGCTCCTGGTCTCTTTTATTCTATTTTCTTTTTGTTTTTCCTATCTATTTTGACTATGAAATTCGTGACAAAAAAATTAGCAGTGAATTAAATTTTATATTAACAGCAGGCATTAGAATTTGGGCAACAAATTTGTTGACCTTCTCATATAAAACTTTTCACCCAACTTGGGCAATAAATTTGTTCACGTTTTCCTCGGTTTTTTGAATTTTTTTGGCTCGTCGCAATTGGTGACATGTATTTTTCTATGGTACAGAAGCTCCTCAATTGGGCAGCTTATCCGGCTGTGTGTCAGGTTTGTCAGTCATCCACACTATTCACGGATATGCCAAATAATTTTGTAAATAGTAAATGCATAAAAATAACTAAGCGATTCTCTACTTAGGGGGTGTTTAGATCCAGGTGTGTAAAGTTTTAGCGTGTCACATCGGATATTATACAGGGTGTCGCATGGGGTGTTCGCACAGTAATAAAAAAACTAATTACACTATCCGTCAGTAAATCATGAGACGAATTTATTGAGCCTAATTAATCCATCATTATATTAGCACATATTTACTGCAGCACTACATTGTCAAATCATGGAGCAATTAGGCTTAAAAGATTTGTCTCGCAAAGTAGTCGCAATCTGTGCAATTAGTTATTTTTTTAGCCTATATTTAATACTTCATGCAGGAGTTTAAACGTTCGATGTTGTAGGATCGAATCACAAGAACTAAGCCAACTAGAGGGGGGGGGGTGAATGATTGGTATACCCAAAAACCGAAAACTTTTAGCAGAAATAAAAGTTACCCTCGAAATCGATGGAGATCGGTCTGACCGAGATTGATCTGTCGGTCTGACCGAAGCGTAGCCGCCGGTCTGACCGGTATTGATCTTCCGGTTGGACCGCCCTGGAATCCCTGCCGCGCCTGATGTCGCCGCCAGTCTGACCGCCTCGCCCTAGCCGGTCTAACCGTCGGTGCTTCGCCGGTCTGACCGCCAGTGAGTCGCCGGTTAGACCGTCGAAACCCGGTGAAACACAAATCGAAGAACTCTTAAAGTAGATGACAACTTTATTGCTTCTCTCTGTGTTTACAAAGTGCAACAACAACACTCCTTACAAAAATCTCTACTAAACTCGAAACCCTAACTAAACTATCAACTCAATTGCTCTTAAAAGCGATACAAAAACGATACCGGGAAGCCTCACGCTCCCCCTCTATTTATACATGAGGTAGGCAGCCTAAAGCCACGAACCAAACTCATACTAAGAGTCCTAAACACCTCAGGAAACCCTCTAGTACAAGACACAAACTTAACATAACCAATTGTATCAAATTTGGACTCCTTCCAAATTCGACTCCGCATCCCATATGCACATAATACCTCCATCATATGCCATATGGAATCTTCACTAACCACGTGCATCAACTCTAGCCTTAGTATCCCGCATGATATCTGACCACCACGGACATCGTCTTACCACCAAGCCGACTCCCAGTCCATCACTGCAAATACTCTCCCGAGGCATCGAGTCACCTACACATGAAACAAACAAAAAAACCATATTCCGAGACCAAACTATCCCCAACTCGACTCATTGTTAGCAAACACCAGTATTACATATTTATAGTATCCATCTAAAAGCCATAGCTATGAAACAATCACGGATATCCTATGGAACAACCCGAAACCGAAACCGATACACTGTCGGCCGGTCAGACCGCGGGCCGTCCGGTCTGACTGCTCGATCACCGCCGGTCTGACCGGCATACACAGCCCGGTCGGACCGGTCACATAAAATAATAGTGAATCCAATCATCACCTAAAAATTGATTATCTCCAAAACCACTTCGACGATAATCTCCAAATATCAAAACCAATAATCACATATGCCAATTGTTCATCACAGAATAATAATCAAAACATAAAATAATAGTGAATCCAATCATCACCTAAACAAAGCTTCAGTAGTTTTTTCTTTTTTCGCTGCAATTGTCTTCGTGGTGAGGACTAATAGCCTCTTTTGTAAGTATTAATTGCTTTAGTTTTCTTGGTACTATATAGTTAAATTGTCAGTTTGTATACCTCAGCTAATTCCTACTTTCCTAGACGACGATTTAATGCACAAGTTAGTTCGGGATGCACATGTTGTTACATCCATGCAGCATGAGAGCTACAGCCTACAGGTGAGTGGAGGTCCATGGTCAAGCACGTAGGAAGTATAATTTGATCTGGTGGTGGGGGTTGGGGGTCTGTTTCCATTGGCATAGGGTAAAGGGACATCATGCGTGCGGGAGTTGCTCGAGAGGGCATGGGCGTGAGGTTAGGCATACATGATGGAGGACAGATCATAAACCACCACTACATTTTTTAGGAGTGAAAGATTTATTTGTTCTTTATGTTGAATGTTTGGAATTAAACGGTATGTTTTTTAGATCCTTTGTAACACACTGGTAATGTAAAAAAAAATGATTTAAAGTTTGGAACTAATGGCATATTTATTTTAGATTCTTTCCAATAGATTGGTATTCTCATAGTAGTATATAAACTTTGTTGTTGAGTATAGCTCTGGGCCTGGCCCAACTATATGATATGAAGCTTAATTTTGCTCCTCTCAAAGCTGACCTCATTTCCATTCTACTCCGATTATCACTCATTCGTGTTGGATATGTGAGATTAATGTGACTTGCAGTTTGTTCTGATATCTGAATATACTAAACGATGTACCGATGCTTTATGCTTATAGTTTCAGGTCATAGTATGGTTGATACAACAATCTGTTTTCAGAAAAGAAAAAAAATACACGTGTAGGTGTGACTTTACAATATTTTTTACATGCTAAAAAGGTGAAATGAGCTACATTGGTTAGGACATACGTATATACTAAAACTTTGGAAAATCAAATGCACCCAATCATCTTGATGAAAGTTGATGAAATATACTTTTTCCCATATCCTATCTTACTATAAAGTTATGACCCACTAACCCTAAAGCTCAACATGCAAACATGCCACCTCATCATCCACTAGCAATAAATACATGCAAAACTTATGCAAGCATGCAACATCATCTATAATTTATTGAATTATACAAATCAACATCCAATCATCTTCCTTCACATTATTTTTCACAATATTTTTAACATTTATATTCATTCATATAATCAAAGTGTGGGATATCATATTTCATCTACAATCTCATACATATCATATTTCTCTCTGAACATAGTTTGACAAACCATTTTTATTTGTTGCTAATAACTAATATAAATTTTACTTTTAGATCGATTATTAAAAAAAATATTAAAAGTTACTTAGAAATTTCGGCAGCAAAGCGCGGGGAATCACCTAGTATCTTATATAAATAACATATATTCAAAACCATGCTCGCATATAGCTCCACAACAATATTTTGGAGTACACATGTATGCCTTATTTTAACACCAGCCTATTACAAAAAACTAACCACAGAAAATTAATTATTCGCTCGCTCAAACGTGGCGTGATCTCTTTTAAGAGATAATTATTTAGAGGTTCATAATTCTCATGTGACCCAACACAAGAGTATGCATGCCTCTTACTTAGAGTTGGATGCCACTCTTATATTCAGAGCCAGCAGTGAAGCTTTCGGGGATGACATCATCGACGACGCGGTAGCCGCCATTCTTGACAAGGAAGCGGACAGAGAAGGGGCCCTTGAGCGGCGCCTCACTTTTGATCGTCCAGGTGTTAGATGATGACTCCTTGAGCGCCACCCAGTCCTTGCCACCCTTCTCCTTGATCTCCACCTCAGAGATGGCGACGTTGGTGACAAGCTCTAGACTACTGGCGCTAGAGCCCTCAGCGACCTTGAAGGTGAGCTCAGTGGCACATGAGCCAACAACCAACAGTGCTGCCACCGCCACGGCAAGCCGGAAAGAGGACAACGAGGCCATTGGCTAGCTAGTTTATTTGTTGGTGTAATCTTCCTTGTTTCTTGACTGGTAGAGGGATGGATCGATATGTTTGGTGATACATGTTACAGTTGGGTGCGTATTTATGGTGGAGGGAGGGTAAGCAAACTAGGCATAGATGCACGGTGCAGCGTGGAGATCGTTGGTAGACTTTTTCATTGAGGGGTTCTTATACAATTGCTATAAACAGATGCTAGTTGGGTGGTCCCGGTTGTTTCGCTAGCCTAGGGCATGCAGGCCTCCCAAAAATCAGCTATGTGGTCCCATTTCTTCTCTACTTATTTTTTTTAAAACTTAGAATAATGATAATTAATCACCTCCTCATGATCTGTTCATGGAGCATGTGAACCGACACATGCGGTTGATGGATCTATTGACCGCATACTTGTATGGGGCATTAGATTTGGAACTTTATCTGAGAGTCCCTGAAGGACTCAAGATCCCAAATCCGAAAGGAAATTGCAACATCTATATTGTTCGCCTGCAGCGATCAATGTACGGATCAAAACAATCCGGAAGGATGTGATTCAATCAATTAAATAGATATCTCCTAAAGAGAGGTTTCCCAAACAATTATGATTGTCCCCCTGTGTTTATAAAGAAATCCCTGAATGCATTTTGTATCATCTCGGTCTATGTCAATTATCTAAATATCCTTGGCACCACACAGGACATTAAACAAGCAATGGCTTATCTTAATATTGAGCTTGAGATGAAGGACTTGGGGAAAGCCTAGTTCTGCTTGGGCCTATTGCTCAAGCATCTCCCTAAAGGAGTGTTTATGGACCGGTATGAAAACCTAGC